ATGATCTAATGTAAATCGAACATTTCGATAGAGAACATCATTTAATATATTTTAAATATTTAAATGTTAATTATAGTAATATTTTAATATTTAATATGAATTTTATTGTGATTAGACTGACAAGATTTAAACAAATATTTATCTAAATTACTAATCCAGTTCCCGGAGATGTGTGTGTCTAAGTACATTGCCCGGTGAACAACTTATGTTTATTTATTTGAATAATCACTTGATATGTTCACACCCTGTCATGTTCGTACAATCAATTTAACTTAACTTAAAAAGTAACACTTAGCTTGAGAAAGTTTTGTTCGTTAATGTACTTCATAATTTGCACTCATCAACACATATTATGATCACGAAATCAACTAGAAGTAGATGGAACCTAATATGTAACACACATGTGAGATATTTGCACAGAATTTGGTCATAAAATCTTAATTTCTTATGTAATGGCGCGAAAACAATACATTTGATCTTAAACTAGTGGGAGGGGATTGGAATCATCTGCCTCATCTTACTGACTAAGGACTGGTTCTTGTGAAAATAGTAACAATCCTGAAGATGGCAGTCTTCTGAGTTGTTGCGCAGTGTAGACGTTTAACGACATTTCAGAGGTCTATAGTGCCTCTATCATAAGGGTGATCTCTCATAGTCCTGTAGATGGAGGCAACAAGGACCTCCGAAACGTCGGTAAACTTCTACCAGAATATAGTGTAATTGCGTCATATTGTGAATATTATAACAATTATTTATTTTAATCCGTCTGATCACAATATTTAAAATTCTTATAATTAAGATAATAAAATATTTAATTCATGTTCCATATCGATTGATCGATTTATATTTCGGAACATGTAAGGCTTTTTAAGAGACTTACGAAGCAATTGTCCAAGTCGAGCTTCAAATTCATTGAGCTGTTTCTTGTTCTCAAATTTCACTTTTCCTAATGCGGTTACACTTCAGGTTAGACACAAGACGATGTTTTGTAAAAATTGTCTTTTTTTCCTACACGAAAGTAATCTTTAACAAAACTGAGTCATATTTAATTTTTATCATCGACTAGATGCAACCGACGAGGTGATCACACATGGCACAAACGTTGTGCCGCGGTCTAACCAACAAATTTCTTCTTAAGATATTGTATGTGCGTCATATTGTGATTTATTTAAATAGTATTAAAAATATATTAAAATTAATATCTTAAAAATCAGTAAAAGTTAGTAATTCAGTTGGAGAGTTTATAACAGAACACCTGATGATGGTTATTTATAGCCGAAACATGTCGTAAAATGTTCCACATGTAAATCGAGTACTCGATACGGAACGTAAAATGATATTTTAATCTTTTAATTATCTTATATTGTGATTGACGGCCAATTTTAATATATTTTTAATACTATTTAAATTTCTTCTTATATAATATGGACACAGTAATTCAGGCGATTGGTAACTTGTTCACAGGGGCCACGTTCACAATTCTGACTCTCCTGTCGAGTCTCAACAGTTGTGTGAACCCTTGGATTTACCTGGCTTTCAACAGAGAACTGGTACGCCTTCTCAAACAACAACTGACCTGCAGAGGACGTGAGACATCGAGCTACCGCGGTGCGTCCGGAGGCAGTGGTTCATCCACCGGAACGCCCGGAGACACCGGAGTTTACAAGAGAAAGAGTTTCACCAAACATGGCAATTCAGTCGTTGTTACAAAGACGACGTTTATTGAAGATAATTCCTGTCGTGGGGTGCCATCTTCAGGGAGTCGCTGTTCGGTTGACACTATAAGGGAAAGGCGTTCATCGGGACAACGTCGTATATCTCAACTTGCCAACTCACTGTTTGTCAGGAACTCGGCACTTTCTGTGGCAGCATCAACTTGTTGTCGAGCTGAATCTGAAGACAGTGACGTACACAAGAACACTTTTAGGTATGACACTGCAGGGCCTTACAGAGGGCTCAATAGAGCAGGTGCTATTAGGAAGAAGTCTAATGTTGAAGCCAGCAATATTCAGCCTGGTTTTGAAAGTGTTGCCAACGAAAGAAAATATTACGCGTATTCGCTTACTCCTAAGAAGGAGGGAAATTCATTGTCTGGAAACAGAATAATAAAAATTGGTGATCCTGCGAAAGTTGGTGTTACAAATCAGGTTATGGCGCTGCTCCACAACGAACCGGAAGTTGGACGTCGGATGCAAGTTCAGTTCTGACAAAGAGCAAACTATGTACCTCAGGAAATAAATTTCTCTGTTACCACGTTTCTATAAATTCTGTGCTGACGACAACCAATACTTATTCAGTTTATTTTATTTGTAGTGTTGTGTCTGACGACAGGTCCATATGAACAGGATCCTTCCATCCTTTTCTCGGACTGGGACCTGTTCATATACGTTCTTGGCAGATGATCCAGAAGTGGTTTGCCATTGCCTTCTTCTGTGTGTGAATGGAGTAATTGTTGGGATGCCACGGAGGAAAACTCCGTGTTGCCTAGACCACGGCCTTGCCCAACACAAGTTATAAATTCGGGCACCGCCGGGAATCGAACCCGAGACCCCAGGATTACAAGGCCAGCGTGGCGGTTACTTATTCAGTAGGCAGAGAAAATTATTTTATGATCCGCGTGATTCTGTGTTGCTGTGCGACTAAAATGAAATTGCGACTATCCAGTACCAGTTTTAGCTTGACCAATTGTGTTTGAGTTGCGTGCAGATAACAGCAAAGTGCGTCTCATTAAAATAAGAATGTGATTCGTCAACTGACATCAGACAAGACACTTTTCATATTTGTCCAATGTGAAAGTCTGTGTGTACAGAGAGATAACATATAACAAAATATTGCAGAATTTGACGTTTTGACAGCGGTGAGTTTGAAGATGTCTGTCTTCTATAACAAAATACTACCGCATATTCCATATTCGAAAATTTGTTTTTTTTAAATTTCTCATTAAGGATAAGAAACAATTTCACGAGCACTCATTATTATTCCACCATGTAATTGTTAATCCTTTGCCAAAATAAGATTTTATTATAGATTTAGAATGATATTTTCCCACTGATATAGAATGTTTAAATAATCTGAAGAACTTCTATTATACTATAAGAAATAAGTCTTAGAGAATCACTGCCTATTACGCAGTATTAATTTTACAATTTTAATTACTCTGAGTGGTGTTTTCTTATCGATTCACTGTTGATATAAAAAATTAAATGCAGATAGTACAAAATGTCCCGCTTCATGTTACCGTGTCATTGTTTGTAAATGATATTATTTATTAGTCTAGAATTTTATCTTCGTTATTATTGAAATTCTTTTCTCTCTGTAAATGGTTTATCAGCCATATTAATTATCCCACAAATTTCTAATCTTTCTTGTTTATAATTTCTCGTACATAAATTACTTTGTAAAAATTAAATACTATCAGAAAATTACAACATACTGATTCAATATTTAATGTCAACAAAATGAAAGCTCAAAGGATAATGCTTTAATACAAAGAAAAGATGTGAAATTTTGTGAGACAAATCTTTCACTTCGGTAAAGATGCTGATGATTTTTTTTCAGAGCTGTTACATCGTGTGGACTTGTAGAAAGATACCAATACTTTGGGGGGGAACATGCTGTCTATTTCTTCAGGATACCCTTACGAGTTCACATGAACTCAAAATTCAGAAGAACAAAAACTACTGTGTTAAAAATAATTTTTGGAAGTTTAAACTGAAGAATTCCACAACAGTCGCTCATAATACAGTGTAATTCCTTTGTTATAAGTCACACAACTAACTTAGTTAAGTGTTACCGTGGTAACTCATGTGCAGTACATGCGATGTTACGATCGTAATTGTGTATTTATTGTAAGCAGGGCCGGTCGAATCCTTTCTAAAGCCCTTTGATAATGCCCTCCACCACAAGCACACACTTCAGTTACTGTTATACAAATCTAAATGTTTCTAAAAATGATGTGTTAGAGTAAATTTGACTATTATTCTGGAAACTATCAATTTTCTTGGTTTATTTTCAAATACATCGTTTTGACATCTACAAATACAAAACCAATAGATTGTTAAGTTGGCCCTCTTTGAGCAACCTAGAGCCATTCTCATTCAAAATGGCCCGTGCCTATCCTCCCCTCATTTTGTAAATGATGCAAGAAACTAATCCAGCTTTCAATACGATGCGTTTGGAAAAAAAAAAAAAAAAAATTTAAATATGTTGAGAGTGACAAAACCTTTTTAAACTAATTTTCACCGCCTTGTGCTAATGCACGTGTTTCCCGTCCCCCCCCCCTCTTTTCCAGTCTGGCCGGCCTTACGCGTATTTATTATATCTTACTTGTACATGGTTGTATCCCTTTAAAATTAAAATTTAAATTTTAATATGTACGTTTAATATTATTAATATCCGATGACTATAATCTTTTTATAAAATATGAGGTCACTTTTGCTTGCTGGCGAGAAGTTAAAATGTCATAATACTTTATTGTAGCCACCAAAATTCTAATCATAGATTTAACTCGGCCACGAGGTTTTTATAAATTATTAAAAATTTGACAACAAAAGTAATATATATTTAATGTGCTTCAATTTCATGAATTTGTACATCTGGCCGCATAGTTTAGTTATATTCGTAACAGGTCACGTAAATGCTACGAAAACCATATTTTTGTCATTGGTTTTATATAACAGATTTATTATTTCGGGGAGAAAACTGTTTAGTCGAAAAGTTAAAAATGATATACTGAAGTCGTTCTTGTCTACAGTGTTATCAGTGTTATGTAATTTGAGGCCTCTAATTTGTAAATCTGATTAATGTGTATGTAATTATTTATCAATTGTATGTTAAGAATTTATAGTAGGTGTACAAATAACATATGTTATATTTTTTAAAATGTAGATTAATCGAATACAATTATGATCTCTACTGTATTGAAAAAAAATCTCGTGACTCAGAAATGTGTTGTAAGTACACTGTTATAAAGTAAAAGTTAACGTAATGATTTTGCATTATGTTCGACAAATGACAAGTGAGATTTATGTCGTCCGTGTAAGTTAGAAAGTTCCAGTGAAAATAGGCTTGAAAATGCTTCTCCAAACGATTATTGGTCAATGTATCTTATAAGCAAAAATTTCTGGTAGGAGTTAAGTACTCTTTCGCCGTAGATATTCGCCTCAACTGCTATTTTATTATTTATTATTTAGTGTTCTGTCTGACGACAGGTCCATATGAACAGGATCCTTCCATCCTTTTCTCTTCTCGGACTGGGACCTGTTCATATACGTTCTTGGCAGATGATCCAGAAGTGGTTTGCCATTGCCTTCTTCTGTGTGTGAATGGAGTAATTGTTGGGATGCCACGGAGGAAAACTCCGTGTTGCCTAGACCACGGCCTTGCCCAACACAAGTTATAAATTCGGGCTAAGAATATAAAATCTTGCTTACAAACAAAACTGTTTACACTTTAAAGGACACTATTTCCAAACGCGTTTCGACCTCAAGAGGTCATCATCAGTGGAAAAACAAATTAGTTCATATAATACAATTCAAAAAGACTGTTGTTTTCTACAGAACATAAAAGGTATGTTCTTCGCAAGACCATAATTATGTAACACCTCACTTTTTTCTCGGTATGCAAGGTTTTAAGATCAACTGCTAAGGTATGTTTCGCACAATAGACCTCAAGCACATTTCCATCTGGCTGGGAATCAGTGGTTAGGCAGCCATTATCGTGGACGGTTTATCAGTCGTTGTTACGAGGTCCCTGTGTCATGGCCACTAAGTTCATCTACCTCTGTCCGATAAACTTTACTTTGTTGGCTTCCAAGAAAAGTTCTGCTTTAATCAACTTTGTTGACGTCAGACAGCATACAGGATGCACGAAGTGAAATTTTTAACACACTAGGGGTTTTAAACGCGTCAAATCCTCGTTTCGACATTGTGCTAATGAATGTGTTCATGCCCATGGAGGGCATTTTAGAGATGAATGTAACATTACACTCTTTAATTTCATCCTCTGTTACCTTTTAGAGAAGCATATCTGAACCTATTGGAAATTATTGACTTATATGGATGTACTAATGATTCCCTGACGTATTGGCATATAATTTAAAAATATCCTGTATAATAAGAAATATTACGAAAATATTATATCAAATCTAAAACTTCTTGACGATGGTGACAGGTCAATTGAAAAAAAAAATTTTTGGATATTATCCATCGTCTAGTAAATATAAAACGTAAAAACGACGTTTCGGAGATGGGACTCTATCTCCGTCTTCAGGTTCCTAC